TAACAATTATCCTAACCCTCCCCCTCTCCCCTTACTATATTGACACACAAACACATACACACTCACACAACAACCCCCCTTAAGCAATTCTAATTCAGCTCAAATCAACATACAACCGCCACCCCGCCAATCCCCAAACACAAACCCCCCCCACAGCCAATCTCCAAACACAACCCCCACCCCCCGCTAGTCAAAGCATCTCATAATACTACAACTCTCCAGAACCAAATCAAACATACCCAACCTTTATGACAGCCACTGTCAACTAAATCGACCTAACTCAAGACTGAAACCAAACAACCTATATCTCACACTCATCTCCGTTCACAATTTGACAAAGCTCAAATCTGTCTCCTGCTATTACTAAAAACTCTCCTACGATACGCTCATCCTTCCTTACTACGAATACTTTGACATTTCAAGCTCAAAGATTCAAAACTCTTCCAACTCTCTCCATTTCACTCTGACATAACTAAAAGACCTACAACTCTCAGAACCAAATCAAACATACCCAACCTCTATGACATCCAATCTCACTAAAATCGACCTAACTCAAGACTGAAACCAATCAACCTATATCTCATTCTCGTCTCCGTTCATAATTTGACAAAAAAGGTCAAATCTGTCTCCTGCTATTACTAAAAACTCTCCTACGATACGCTCATCCTTCCTTACTATGAATACTTTGACATTTCAAGCTCAAAGATTCAAAACCCTTCCTCCAACTCGCTCCGTTCCTCTTTGACATAGCTCAAAGACTTTACCTTCATCTTTCTCCAAACAACCCTATGACTAGCTACATTTCCATTTTTTCACCTTCTCTGTTACTTTGATCGTGTGTTGCCTGTGCGTCCGTCCACCTGCGCTTCTCGGCTCGCGCCGCCGCCGTGGCGGGGCGGTTCTTCCTCCGCTTTGCCAACACTGCCTTAGCTAAGACGACAACCAGAGCACCCGCGTTGGCCCTTTGCTTGCCAGATCCTGCTCCCGCCCTCCCTCTGCCTCGTCCTGATCGTGATTGTTACACCTTCAGGGCACATTGCCTACCCCCTCACGCAAGCGGTGTTTAGCCACTGCATCTATTATCTCCTCCTAAATTCACTTCAATCCCCCCTTTATTCTTCCCCTGAACCTCCTTTCCCCCTGTCACTAGCATTTATTCATTCATTCATATTGGTTCACACTCAGGATGGGATGGAGAAAGGAAACTCACAATGTGCTCTCTGTATACATATTGTATTGGATGTACAATGCAGCTTGGTGCTGGGAAGGCAGCATGGTTACAAGCATGGAGTAGAGAGACCTGGTTAGTGAGGGTGCTCAGAGGAGGACCAGCTTGTGGGGAGCCACGGTCGCCGGCTGGAGCGGGAGCCGCCAGGCAGGAGCCGAGGAGGATGTGTTGCTTGCTGGTGGCTGTAGGTAGAAAGAGATAGGTCACCACGAGGTGAGGTCTGATATAGCGGAGGTAGGCGTGGCTTAATAGTTGACCTCAGTCATGTAAGGCGGCGCTGGTTGCTGATCTTGACCACGAGGCATACACTGGGGAATTCGAGGGTCGGCTAGTCAGCGACAAACAGCGTTTGTACGGGAGGAATCCACTACAATACTCCCCCTTCCCTCCAGGCGGTGTAAGAGACTTGTTGTCTGCAGGGTTGCATCCCACATGTGAGGCAGAACAGGCGATGCAGGAGACTTGTTGTCGGCAGGGTTGTATGCCACATGTGAGACATAATGGCGAGGGCGTGAATGAGCCGGCCGCTACGGGAGACGACTGTCTAGATACACGAGATCTGTGGGAGAAGGAGGGTTGTGGAGGCGATGAATGTTGTGCTTCCCTCGCGGCAGGTACAGAATCCTCAGATGCGCCTGCTGGGGTGTGTGGGTCTGGGTCAGGAGCAGGGGCTGCATCAGGAAGAGGGTCTATGACAGCAGCAGGGTGCATGACAGCAGCAGGGTGCAGAACAGTAGCAGGGAGTACATGAGGGGAAAAAAAAGGGTGTGTGGGGCCGCCTCAGGCGCATGGGCCGCGTCGGGAGCAGGGGCTGCCAGGCAGGAGCGGAGGAGGGTTCGCGTCAGGAGCAGGGTCCAGGACAGTGGCAGGGGGTACTGCTGGGCCGGGGGCGGCGTCTGAGGCAGGATGGGTGTGTTGGGGTCGGTAGGACATGGTGCTTGGGGCAGGAAGAGGAGCGGCTGTCTGTTTAGAGTAGCAGAGCTGCTCTAGGGTGTCTAACCTGCGGTGTAGAGACAGTAGCTTGAAGACTGGGAGAGTGATCGGTTTCTCCTCCATCCTGTGTGAGTGCGAATCTCCGGGGGCCACCATATGTGGGGTATGTGATATTGGTTCACACTCAGGACGGGATGGAGAAAGGAAACTCACAATGTGCTCTCTGTAACCATATTGTATTGGATGTACAATGCAACTTGCTGCTGGGAAGGCAGCATGGCTACCAGCGTGGAGTAGAGAGAGCTGGTTGGTGAGGGTGCTGAGAGGAGGACTAGCTTGTGGGTCGCCAGATGGAGCAGGAGCGGAGGAGGAGGTGTTGCATGCTGGTGGCTGTAGGTAGAAAGAGATAGGTCACCACGAGGTGAGGTCTTATATAGCAGAGGTAGGCGTGGCTTAATAGTTGACCTCAGTCATGTAAGGCGGCGCTGGTTGCTGATCTTGACCACGAGGCATACGCTGGGGAATTCGAGGGTCGGCTAGTCAGCGACAAACAGCGTTTGTACGGGAGGAATCCACTACAATACTCCCCCTTCCCTCCAGGCGGTGTAAGAGACTTGTTGTCTGCAGGGTTGCATCCCACATGTGAGGCAGAACAGGCGATGCAGGAGACTTGTTGTCGGCAGGGTTGTATGCCACATGTGAGACATAATGGCGAGGGCGTGAATGAGCCGGCCGCTACGGGAGACGACTGTCTAGATACACGAGATCTGTGGGAGAAGGAGGGTTGTGGAGGCGATGAATGTTGTGCTTCCCTCGCGGCAGGTACAGAATCCTCAGATGCGCCTGCTGGGGTGTGTGGGTCTGGGTCAGGAGCAGGGGCTGCATCAGGAAGAGGGTCTATGACAGCAGCAGGGTGCATGACAGCAGCAGGGTGCAGGACAGTAGCAGGGAGTACATGAGGGGAAAAAAAAGGGTGTGTGGGGCCGCCTCAGGCGCATGGGCCGCGTCGGGAGCAGGGGCTGCCAGGCAGGAGCGGAGGAGGGTTCGCGTCAGGAGCAGGGTCCAGGACAGTGGCAGGGGGTACTGCTGGGCCGGGGGCGGCGTCTGAGGCAGGATGGGTGTGTTGGGGTCGGTAGGACATGGTGCTTGGGGCAGGAAGAGGAGCGGCTGTCTGTTTAGAGTAGCAGAGCTGCTCTAGGGTGTCTAACCTGCGGTGTAGAGACAGTAGCTTGAAGACTGGGAGAGTGATCGGTTTCTCCTCCATCCTGTGTGAGTGCGAATCTCCGGGGGCCACCATATGTGGGGTATGTGATATTGGTTCACACTCAGGACGGGATGGAGAAAGGAAACTCACAATGTGCTCTCTGTAACCATATTGTATTGGATGTACAATGCAACTTGCTGCTGGGAAGGCAGCATGGCTACCAGCGTGGAGTAGAGAGAGCTGGTTGGTGAGGGTGCTGAGAGGAGGACTAGCTTGTGGGTCGCCAGATGGAGCAGGAGCGGAGGAGGAGGTGTTGCATGCTGGTGGCTGTAGGTAGAAAGAGATAGGTCACCACGAGGTGAGGTCTTATATAGCAGAGGTAGGCGTGGCTTAATAGTTGACCTCAGTCATGTAAGGCGGCGCTGGTTGCTGACCTAGACCACAGGCATACACTGGGGAATTCGAGGGTCGGCTAGTCAGCGACAAACGGCGTTTGTAGGGGAGGATTCCAAGGTATGTAGATAACCTACCTTGGGTCTACCAGCATCGCTGGCTGTACGCTGATTGGCTGGTAGGCGTGCGGGAGCTCAGTCGTCACTTGTAGGGGATGGGGTCCACTACAGGTTAATCTCATCCTCCCTTGTATATTGGCTCTGCTGTGTTGTCACGGCCAGAGTACATTATACTAAGAAGTTCATTTTTTTTTGGGGTTGTAAGTGAACTGTATTGTTCACTTTTTTTATACTTTTATATTTGCTCTCCCACATGATTGGATGTTTTAGATTAAAGTGAACATATGAGTTAAGATCCTTGCAGATATTTTTTCTATCTTTACTCCATTTTTTTAAGTACTGTAGATACAGTGGTACTGTATATTATTTGCCATTCACCATTGCCACTTGCCAGACCAGACTTGACCAACACTGGAGCAGGTTCAGGTACATTCAGGAGCCGGTGCATGCCCAGTACTTGCCAACAGTGAGTAACAGAGACGTGACCAATCGCCCAAGCGGCTAACGAGCCGATCAGTGGTGAAGAGGATATAAGTAGGTTTAAAGTGTTCCACTGCATTGTATGAGCAGTGGTGCCATTTATAAATTTACATTCCCACTATATGAGACTCCAAAACCCGCTAGATTTGATCCTAACCCGCTAGATTGTAGCTGTACAGATAATAGCATGTTACCCTCTTTATATATACCGCATATAGATATATAGACAATTAAACTGATAAATATATATAAATATATATCATGATAAATATAGAAAGTATGGTACATAGAAGTATAGCCAATTAACACACCGGCGAGCATAATGTCACAAAAGTGATACGAATGTATAATCAACATCATAGGATATGCATAGCCTTCCTTTAAAACAAGAAGAGAGAGGAATCATCAAATTCCTCTACCTCTGTTTCCTCTCGAGATGTACTTGCTCTTGGTGTTGATTTCAGGATTAGTTCACAGACATATGCATTGCTAGTTCCAATCAATTTCAAGATATCTGCCGGTATTTCATATTCAAAACAAGACTTTTCATTTTTTTTTCAAACCTGCTCGTATTGCAAGAAGAGCATTAACCATTTTTCCCCATTTTGTTTCGAAGTTTATTGTTCACTATATTTAACTGGCTGAATATCCTCTCTACTTCAGTATTAGAGTGGGGTATGACGAGAACTGATAAAGCAAACTCTGCCAATCCTGGAATGGATTACAATGTGATGCGTCCATGTACTTATGTATTTCATTCCAAAATAGGACAGTTTGTGAAACTTCATTCCACGTCACAAGAGTGAGATCTTTCCACTGACTGTCTATACTTATGCAAGTATTATTATATAACTACAATCGCTAGAAAACCGCGAGACATCGGTTAAATCCACACAAAAAAAACCCGCTAGCAGCTAGACAGCAAATTTACCTGCTAGAGGGTGTCAAAACATCTAGACTTAGCGGGACAACCTCTTAAATAGCACCACTGTGTATGAGTTGTCTCTCCTTGCAACCAGGTGTGTGTTATAACAAACCACAAGTGAATGAACATGCTTTAAAAGTCTTCATTGCTGATAGGAATTATCGGCAAATTTTTACAAGTGGACAACCATGGATTTTTTGTTGAGCAATGTGTTTTTCCGATGTTTATTGATGTGATTTGAACTAATTTTACATTGATATTTGTCGCAAGTTAGCCGTTTTATAATTATGCCCCCCCACCCCCCACCTCCCCTCCAATATGGGGGACCTGGGGGAAGTCGGGGTTTTTGGGTGGGGGGAACACACACGGCTAATTGGTGGCAAAAATCTGTTCAAATTTCTAATAATCACAACTAAAAACGGTAATTTTTCGTTATCCACCCATCACCTTTTTTCACATGAAAAATATAATTTTTCGCTAGATTTTTTGCTTTTTTAGATGATTCTGGCATTTATTTTTTTTTTTTTTTAGTTAGGTTACCTGACCTAACCTAACCTAAAAAAAAAAAGTGATTTGCCCAAAGATAAATGTTACATTCATCTGATAAAGCAAGGGTTAATATATAGGACTAACCCGCAAGAGCTGCTTAGCGCCGATGCGGCTGTATCATCTCGCGTCCTGAAAATGCCTCAAATTTCACCATATATTAAGTTCTTTCTGTTTAATATACCGGGGAAGTTAGGTAAGGTTAGGTGGGTTTGTTTGGTTTGATTGGTTAGGTCTGTTCTTCATACCCACAAAAGTTAAATAGCATTTATTTAAAATATAAACTTTTTAACACATTTCCACAAATTACAACAGTCTCCACGATAATATAACAATGAAAATCCGGCGTTTTTATAATTGTTTTCAATCAATTTCACTCGCGGGTTAGCCCTATATAATTATCAAAGCAAGAAAACTAGCGAAAAAATAAATTCTTCGCTTGAAAAAAAGGTGATGGGTGGTTAACAAAATGATAGCAATGTTGCGTGTCACCATAACATCAAATTGGGACTTAGAAAATGTTTTGATTTTTACAACTAATAAATTGCAAATATCGTTTATTTTTAGAATGCGCCACTATATTCAAGTATATTCTTTAGTTTCTCGACGAGATCTACTAAATGGTAAGGAAAAAAATGTAAAAAGGTGATAGGTGGATAACGAAAAATGATCCAAAAAACATCGGAAAAACACATTGCTCAACAACCAAAAAGCACCAAAACTAACCTAACCTAACCTAACCGAGTGTGACATAGAAGCCCGAGTGATAGTCCTGACTGACACGGGAGATTTGATGTACAGTATTGGAAAAAGTTATACTGTATTAACGACTATTCTATTGCCATTATTAAACATTTGCAATCATATTATATAGAAAATAAAGTTTAAAATGGTCTATTACATTGATTGGTAAAAAAAAAATTCATGAGGTTCATTGGTTGTCTGCTTGTAAAAAAAAATACCGAATTCTCTACTGTAGTGTTTAGGCTCCTCAACAAGAATAAGATCACTGCAATAAAACGCAATCATTCTTTTGTTTTCAGATTAAGGAAAAATGGCACAAGTATGTCTTAAATTATGGCAAGGCCATACGTGGTTTCAAGTTGGAAGATTGATTAATATTCATAGACCAACTCTTACACCTACTGTGACTAGAAACTCTTCAGCATCACTGTCTTTAGCATTTAAAGTTTCAAGACTGATGAGGATCAAGAAGGTAATACCAAATAGTTTATATAAATTTTAAGGTAATGCTGGACCAGATGACTAACCCCAGAAGTTGTTTGATTTCTTTTATTTTTTTTCCACATATATTCTTTGGATGGTCATAATAAAACAATGACAACTTATTATTTGGTAATTATTGATGAGATATCCGCTGCCAATTTTTCATAGAAAATTATTTAAAAAATGCAATTTCACTGTGTTTTGTAGTGGATACTGTCGTAGTTTGGGCAAATGTGTTAAAAGTGGTTATTTTATAAAATAAAAATTAACCTAACCTGAGTTAATGATAAAAACAAGAGGCAGAAGCATAGTTAGAAGACCACACCAACCTAACCAAAGAAAACTACCTAACTTCCTAGCTGTGAGACTCCCCCCTCCAAACCCCCTGGCATATTAAACTGAAAGAACTTACTATGATATGGTGTAATTTTACATTTTTTATGGACGTGAGACAAGCCCGAGCGGCTCATGAACGTAAACTGAGCGTAGACAGGTATCTTGTGCGGTATATGATGGTTCCCCTAACCTGTACCATTTACGTGTATTCGTATGGGAAAATTATGTTTAATTTATGCGTTTTTTAATTAAGCGATGGTTTCCAATAACGTAACCCCCGCTTAAAACGAGAGGTGGGTGTACTTTAAAGAGACTGTTATAGACAAGCTGATGGTACAGCGGTAACGAGCATAACTCACCAATATGTCAAGGGTTCGTGCCTCGGCCCTGACACATGTGAGAATGGTGTTATCCAGTGTGATCCTACTAAACACCACAGGTTTCCCTGTCCCTGGTTTCCTTCTGTACTAACACTGGATAGAGCCCAAACTGCTAGTAAGCTGATAAGCGGCGAATATGATAAAAATAAAGTAAATTGCCAAAGAGAGATGTCAAAACCAAGAGTTAGCTTTAGGATGAAGGGAAAAAGTTTATCATTAAGACGAACACAGGAGTTCATAAAGTGCAACAGATTTGTTTGCTACTTCTTGCAATACATGGAAATGGTGTTTAAAATGAAGAGAATCTTGGAAAATTACCAACACTTGTCATATGAAAACAACCTAATGAATGCAATGCCTCCGACAACCCTAATGTGAACAGCTGCAACTTCTCTTGCATCTTCAATGCTTGCTTTGATAAATGCTTCCTGCTCAAGACTAAGTCAGTGAAAACTGTATCCATTTCCAAACCCTATATCACAAGTGAAATTAAGATACGTAATGATAAAAGAAAAACACAAACTCCAAAGGAAATTTGCAAAAAGACCCATAACTTTCGGTGATGCTTACCGAAGTATCAGAAATAGAGTAACTCAAGCAGTTAGAAATGCCAGACGTAACTATTATACAAATAAGCTCCAGTCAGCATCTGGCGACAGTAAGAAAACCTGGAATGTCATAAACTCTATTCAGAACAGGAACACTCAGCCTTCGGCCCCCCACTCAGCTTTTATGATAAATGATTCAGTTGTAACGGAACCCTCCCCCATTGCCAACCACTTCAATGACTATTTTATTAATGTTGGCAAAAATCTTGCAGAGAGCATCCCTGATCACCGTGAGGAATTTAGAGCCTACCTGCAAAACAGACAGCAAAATGAGCTATTCTTATCCCATGTCACAGCAGATGAATTACTGGCCATCATAAAAATGTCCAAAGATGCAGCAGTAGGCAAAGACAATACTTGTATACCAATGAGCATCATTAAGAAAGTAGCCCACTTATTACTACCTGTTCTACACATTTGTAACTCCTCCTTCACTAATGGTGTCTTTCCTGATAAACTGAAAATTGCTAAAGTTCACCCAGCATATAAAAAATCTGGGGACAAAGGTCTCTTCAAGAATTACCGCCCCATATCAGTCCTCTCAGCCTTGAGTAAGATACTGGAAAAGCTAGCATGTAATAGACTAAATTCCTTCTGCAATGTCAATAACATCTTTATAGACTCCCGGTTTGGATTTAGAGCTAGAAGGTCGACTGAGAGTGCTCTGCTATCCTTTACTAATGACATCTTAAATTCCTTTGATGACAGTCAGTTCACAGTCAGTATATTCTTGGACCTCTTTAAAGCCTTCGATACTGTCGACCATACCATCCTCCTTTCAAAGCTTGAACATTATGGCTTTAGGGGCCTGTCCCACAATTGGTTTACCTCATATCTGTCCAACAGAATGCAGTATGTCTGCTATAATAATCACCAATCTGAATCCTTGCCAATCTTGTATGGAGTCCCCCAAGGTTCCATTCTCGGTCCAGGACCATTTTTGTTGTACATAAACGACATAGTCCACGCCTGCTCACTCATAAAATACAACTTATTTGCAGACGATAGTAATCTCTAGCCAGCAACTCAGACCTCCATTCTTTGATGAGAACTATGAACATTAAATAGACTAAAGTCAGGACCTGGGTAATACATAATAAACTGACCTTAAACTTTGAGAAAACCCACTACATGATCTTTCACAGAAGGAAAAACTTATCCCCAGACTGGACCCCCTGTACCTTCGGTAATACAATCCTCAAACACGAACAAAATAGTTAATTCCTCATAGTTATTGTTGATGAGAAACTTAACTGTAGAAACCACATACAAGCCATTCTCAGTAAAGTCAATAAACAGTGTGGTATCATGTATCACACTCGATAGTCACTCTGTAACGGGGCGAGTTTTCTCTTTTCAATAATTTACCATCCAGCTATTCTTTTCTGTTAGTATTCTAGTTATTCATATTCTTATATGTTCTGTGTAGCATTCTTTCCACTGGCGAGTTTTCTCTTTTCAATAATTTACCATCCAGCTATTCTTTTCTGTTAGTATTCTAGTTATTCATATTCTTATATGTTCTGTGTAGCATTCTTTCCACTGAGTATCCTGTTTTATATACTTATCCTTCTTCAATTCTTTACATATATATACTTATTCTTATATATTCTTGCTTATATTCTTATATGTTCTTTATCTCTATATACCTTATATTCTTATATATTCTTATATAAGTAACTCTTATGCTTCTCTGCTTATGTTTTCCAAGTCAATGTTCTTTCTTTTCATTTCCTTTCATATATTATGATCTCTTCCATATATTTTGTTCTAGTTATATTCTAAACCTTGGATTAACCTGGGAAACCATGTCTTTCTTATTACCACACTTATTATACTTACACCGGTAGACCTGCCACCACCCAGGATTTTTCTAGGCACGTGAGTTAGTTATTTTCTGAGAACCAATGTGGGAAAGGATAGAGTGGTGATACTAGTAGACGTAGATTACTAATTCAATATTTATTAACACAGTGATTGGATAAGATGCATCTTAGATTCACTCAGACAAAACAGAACTGCAATTTATTTATTAAGTCATCAAACACTTCAAGAACTTATTACCTCATTAAATACCTCCAAATGCTTATTACTTCAATCGACAATTGTGGTATTGTCACTCTGCCAAATGATATTCAGTACTGGGTATACACTAGATATCACTGGACCCTCAGGTCTTACCTTACCAAGTAGCAAATTAACTCTTCACTTCTTGGTTATATCATTATACTCTCAGATTATCATTTCATGGTCACTACCAATGAATACATAACACACTGGACAACTCCACAATTATCTCAACATACAATACCTCCTGTTAATTCACAAGGAACGACATGGCACTTTTAACTCTCATTCAGTGGTTCAATACTTAACCTGGGATACTATATTTCTGCTAGTTATCCCCCAAACAAGATACCATAATGCTTAGGCCTATGTAACTGTGAGGAGTGCCCCAGGGTAACGCTGGTCTCTACAACAAATGAAGATCTCTGTTAGGGGTCGGTTGTAGACCGACACACGCTCAGGGAGTTGGCGCCTGATTTGCAGGAAACGGACTTCCCAGTTCAGTCCTGTCGAATTAACGGCATCGTCCAACCCGGTTACCGCCCCACGTTAGCCGATGAGGATTCAGCTCAACACACTGGAGAGACGTTGAGGAAGAGTCACGAATGCGTAAAGGTCTAACTTCAACTATACAAAACATACGCCTGGCAACGGTTCAGACGATATCTAAATCTCTACGTTACTCGACTTAATTGGCACAGAATTCACTATGTTAACACATGAGCACTGATATTCACCAAAATTGACTAAGTTAAACTGAATTAATAGGCGGCGGGGAACACACGTTAACATACCTGGAGAGACGTTGAGGAAGAGTCACGAATGCGTGATTCTCCCTCGTGTAGAGGTATATACGTGCACCCGCGGGGCAGCTTGGGCCTCCGTATTCATACCAGAAGGGTCGATCTTACCAACAACATAACTTCTCTATCATTTTGAATCACTGTATACTTGGTTATGAACTCCGGTGTTCTTGATCAGGGTAATTTCCTATGTCTATTCATATAATCTAATCAGAGGTTGAGCTTGCCAGGAAAAGGTGGAATATACACGTCGATAACATTAATTCTGCAAGCTCAGGCCTGAGGCGAACAAGGAGCTATTCACGGGGAGGCGCTAGATCTTGGAGATTATACCAGTTGACAGAATAGTTCAGGAAATTAATGACTTTCTTAAATAGACAACTGACACTAACTAAACTAAAAACATCAGGTTCTCTGATGTCGGGGCGACAAAATGATATAACTTCAGGCACGATCAGAAACTCATGGATACCCCCACGGACGACATAAAATATGCCACTCTAGCTGGCAAACTCGACACTCACTCACTTGACACATTCTACTAACGATAAGGACAGTTGAAGCGTTCTACCCCACTCACAATGGATCTTGAATGTTCCAACTGTAAACAGACATATCTAAGTTGACTCAAAACAAGGGTGTTCTCTCTCACACTCAAATTCATTTTATAGAGAGGTTGGTTTCAGTAAGTCAGAGAAAATGGGATAACGGAGGACTGAGGTGTCTTGAAGTGATGAGAAAACAGACTCCTCAGATGGAGGACTCAAACGAAAGCCGAGTTACATGTTTTGTGGGCTATTGAGCGTAATATGAATCATTTGACTTTGGCGCTAACTGACGTGTAAGACCGTGGTCTTTACAACTCACTCTCACAGCAATGAAAGAAATCTATCATGACTTTGTTTACCAACACCTGATACACTGTTACACACTATGGGGGCCTCTGGTTCTTCAAAAACACAATCTCTGGTTACTGCACAAAAGAGAGTTGTACAGACAATGACCTACTTGAAAAAAAAACATCACACAAACGAAAAATTTGCTATATTGAAAATTTTAAAATTTGCAGATATTAACACCTACTGCTGTGCCCTCTTTGTTTACAAATCTTTCAATCACTTGCTTGACAATAATTATTTCCCGTTCCGGAATAATCAGAGATACAACTTAAGGCACCCAGAGCTACTAAGACCACCCCCCAGACCTCCATAAAATATCACGGTGTGAAGGTGTGGAACAACTTAGCCCCACCCATCCGAGCAAAGACTACGCTCCCTTCCTTTAAATCATCTCTTAAAAAATATCTATTGTCTAAGTATTAATTTTTCTTGTAACACCTACTATATTTACAGTACCTGCTTTTATTGTACCATCAAAACCATTTTATCGGAAATTATCATGTAAATAGATAAGTAATTACCATTGCAATAAACATAATTGCCAACTAGACATAATCCTGACAGCTCTGTCCTCTTGTTCAACCTTATTACTGCACAACCTATGTTGTACTGCTCCCCCATTATACTTATGTTTTTCAACTCCACATTATGAGATGTTCTTATTACCACCATGCTATTGTACTATTCCAGATGATACTAAATGTTACAAATACTTCCTTGAGATAAATGTATAATATACAGTATATCAGGTGCCTAAAAAGGAGCTCAGGTTCTCAACTGGCTCAGCCATGTTAATATTGTTATTATTATCCACTCTGTATCTGTGTTTTTCTGGCTAAATAAACTGTTTCAATTCAATTCAATTCAATGATTGTTGCTCAAGATTTATGAGGTGTTTGGTCAGAGGTAGAGATCAAACATTAGGAATACAGTTATCACAGGGAGGTCGCCTCATTTTATGTTCTTGATGACACATATCTGACCTCTCCCTGTACTTTTATATTTGTTTTTAAAAATTAGGGTAATTTAGCACTGTACAATATAAAGGGATCATTATTTTTGTAATTTAGTGACTCGGCTTGTTTTACTTTTGAATATGGCAGCGAGAGGAACAGAGTTATCAATGTCATGGTTTTTAGTAATAAATGTACTCTTTGCTGTATTAGCCAGGAGTATTAAGTTTAACGAGTGGACTCCTGGTTGGATTTCTTGCAAGTGACTATCCAAGTGTTGTAGCAGAAGCCCCTTCTTCAGAAACACTGGTGGCTGAAGCAGATAGGCTTTATGACCAAATGAAATATGAGGATATATACAACCTTCTGCATACCCACAAGGTAAGTCACTTTCATTTAATGAAAGGACATTTATTAGATTATCAAATATTACATGAATTTAAATGGGACCAGTGTAATTACTCTCACTTCTTTTTTAGTTGTTTGTCGCTTTCCATACAATTCCCAATACAAAATAACATTTGCAAATTACTGTACTATACCAGGGTTTTCAATGTTGGAACTAATTCAATATTTCTGACTTAAATTAAACCTCATATAACTGAACTTATATTTGTTTATATGAAGTTCAACATTATTAAAAAGTCAACTCATTTTTTATTAGGGAATGAAAAATGATGAGATTCTTTGGAGATTAGGTCGAGCAACATATGAAAAAGCAAAGGCTGCCAAGACAGATGATGATAAAAAAATACTTTATAGAGAAGCTCTGAACTACGTTGAAGAAGCCTTAGCACTCAACCAGGAGAACTTTGCTGTTCACAAGTGGATGTCCATCTTAATTGACTTTGTATATAGTTATGAAGGAAGCAAGGCCAGAATATCTCAATCTTACAATACAAAGAATCATATGATGGTATGTATGTACTGTTTGTATGTAACACCATAAATTCTTCAAATATATATATATATATATATATATATATATATATATATATATATATATATATATATATATATATATATATATATATATATATATATATATATATATATATATATATATATATATATATATATATATATATATATATATATATATATATATATATATATATATATATATATGCTGATAACCACAAGAAAAGAAGAAAACACTTAAGTTCCCAAGCGCTTTCGTGTAATTCACATCTTCAGGGGTGAGTACAGACTAGGATAATACAATTGACATTGCTGGATTCCTTGTAAGACCAGGAATATTTTGAATATAAACGTCATATATTTTGCACAAAAGATAACATATTTACTCAGAGTAAACATTATATCTAAAATTTGTATGTCTAATGCAAAATCTATGATGTTTATATTCAAAATGATCACCAAATTGTAAGAATTCCAGCAATGTAAATTATATTCTGGCTGGGTAATTTGTATGAATTTTATGAGCTAAAACAAATATCTTCAGTTAATAAAAAAAAAAAATATTCTTCACCACACTATCTGTCAATCAAAGTACCCCACCATGCCTCCCCCCTCTTCCAACCGTGAGGTCCGTCCCAACCCTCCCCCCCACCCCTCACCAATCCTCCCTTCAAGAGATGTTGGGTGAAAAAACTAAATTTTAACATTTAGTATTAAATAATACCTCAAATTAAAGTTAGGATAATATAATTGACATTGCTGGATTCCTTGTAAGACCAGGAATATTTTGAATATAAATGTCATATATTTTGCACAAAAGATAACATATTTACTCAGAGTAAACATTACATCTAAAATTTGTATGTCTAATGCAAAATCTATGATGTTTATATTCAAAATGATCATCAAATTATAAGAATTCCAGCAATGTAAATTATATTCTGACCGGGTAATTTGTATGAATTTTATGAGCTAAAACAAATATCTTCAGTTAATAAAAAAAAAAAAATATTCTTCACACAGTAACAGATGGTCGGTCGTCCCTCCCTCCCTACCAGATGTGTGGGAAAACCAGAATATTTACCTTTTTAGTAATAAATAATACCTCAAACTAAAGTTAGGATAATATAATTGACATTGCTGGATTCCTTGTAAGACCAGGAATATTTTGAATACAAATGTCATATATTTTGCACAAAAAATAACATATTTACTCAGAGTAAACATTATATCTAAAATTTGTATGTCTAATGCAAAATCTATGATGTTTATATTCAAAATGATCATCATACTGTAAGAATTCCAGCAATGTAAATTATATTCTGGCCGGGTAATTTGTATGAATTTTATGAGCTAAAACAGGCAGGCAGGCAGGCAGGTTGGAAATCTAAAAATAGCAAAAATGGCTCTGGGCGGATATAGCGTTAAGTGAAAGTTCAGCTCTGGCGAGGCACCGCGTATACGTGAAATCGCGCTAAGCGAAACCGTGTTAAGCGGGGTATTACTGTATATATATATATATATATATATATATATATATATATATATATATATATATATATATATATATATATATATATATATATATATATATATATATATATATATACACATACATACATACATACATATACAGTCGGCCCTTAACATACGCGGGGGTTACGTAACAGAGATACCCGTGGATGTTAAAAATCCACGTATATTTGCTGCCCTTCCCCCCAAAAAACCCTGGCCCCCCATGTCCTTATTTACCGTATATACCTGTGTGTAGTTCGAGTTTTTAAGACCAAATTATTTGGCAAAAAATTGGGGGTCAACCTCTAAACTTCGTTAGGTTGAAAAATATTTACCAGTAACTACCAGTAAACAATGGAAACGATGCACCAACGCACCACCAGCTGTGAGTGTCGGTACAGTTGCCAGGGCAGATCTCTTGCGTCATCATAGCAAGCCCAAAGTAGCCAAATCCATGGTATGGTAGCACAGGACGATGTAAAACAAAGTATTCATTTATTAAAGTTTATTTATAGATACTGTACATAAATTTTTGTTCATTACATTTGAAACATCAATCTTTGTTAATTAAATTTGAAACAAAAGAAAACTACGATACCGTATTTTCATTAAAATATTACATCACAAGTATATTTTACCTTAACTGTGACTGAATGAATATAGGTATTCTCAGAAATAAATATGGAAATATAATATTTTTGCTGGAATGACGTACATATTACAGTGGAAAGACGAAAACAATGACTTTCGCTTTCTTTCGTTATTCAAAAGATTTTACCATAATCGCTTTTCGAATGGTTTTCAGTTAAAAAATTGTTGTACTCGTACTGTATTACAATAATATTCTATCCTATCATTAGCCTTATAATCCCACAACTGAAAACCATTCGAAAAGCGATTACGGTAACATCTTTTGAACGAAAGAAAGAGAAAGTCATTGCTTTCGTCACAATTTTATCCCACTTTCCACTGTAATACGTGCATCATTTCAGCAAAAATATTACATTTCCATGTTCTCAGAAATAAATGGTAGTTTTGTTGAAACGTAATGTACAGTATTTAATATTAAAATGCAAAAATAGCTATAAAAACAATTAATACACCCGTAATGTACTGGCTGGCATCTCCACTCGTCCCTGCTCCCGCGTCCAAGGTCACCACTCCTCCCAACTCGCTCCCTCCGCTCCCTCCTCTACCTGCCCCACCCCCTCTGCCTCCTCCACCCCCTCTGCTTCCTCCCCTTCACTACTGCCGACAACGAACGCAAATGTTTTGTGAATAACTGCACCTCCACTTCCTATGTACAGTACTGAACTGTACTGTGCTGTGCATTTTTACAAACAATAAACATGGCAAGAAAAGCTATTAAAAAAAAAGAGATAAATATTTCACTTTACTGTACAGTACCTATCCTCGGCGACAGGACGGGGGTCATCGGGCTCATCGTCACTAAATTCCATAACGGGTGGTGAAGTGGGGGCGACGGTGGATTTAGCTGCTTCCTCACTGCCGCCAGTGATTGGTGTTAAATCTCTCCTTCGGTGATCAAAGAACATGGTGATGGGGAGTTGTCGTCTCTTTCTTTCATTTCTTCCATGATGTTTTTGTATGGAGCGAAAACGTCATCCATCCCTCGCATGAATTTCAGGGCACGCACCATGGAGGGGTCCATACTATAGGCCAGGTTTTTCAGTGCCTCAATATTCCTGGTCATCTCCCCCAACTTCTCCAACGTTATTTCTTGGTGCTCTTCCTCATCCTCTTTCCCTTTCGCTTCCTCTTCCTTGCCTGAGTCTACTAACTCCTGTAGATCCTCCTCGGTCAGCTCAGTGTCGTGCTCTTCAATTAGCTCCCTAATCTCGTCCTCTGCCATGTCCCGGAAGCCTTCAGCAGCCACTTTCCTTGACAGTGCCAGGGTCTTTCTGAATATTTTCATTAAAATCCATCAAAATCATTTTCCTTGTCATCGTCTTAAGCACCAAACAGCTCCTCCCAGTCTTCTCCTTGAACAGGGCTAGAGGGTACGTGTTTTTCGAATCATTTTCAATTAAAAAAATGTTACAGCACATGTATATTTTACCTAAACTGTGCCTGAATGAATATATTCTCAGAAATAAATAGTAGTTTTGCTGAAACGTGATGTATTTCAATGTAAAATAGGATAAAATACATAACGAAAACAAAAGACTTTACCTAACCTTCCAATGTTCAAGAGATGTTACTCGTTTTTTTAATAGTTTTCGGTTAAAATACTGTTATATTACAATGATATTATATTCATACTGTGCTTGATATACTACATTCACGGAAATGTAATATTTTTGCTGAAATGACGTACGTATTACAGTGGAAAGTGACGAAAACAATGACTTTCGCTTTCTTTCGTTCAAAAGATGTTACCGTAATCGCTTTTCGAATGGTTTTCAGTTAAAAAAACTGTTGCATCACAAGTGAATTAGGATAGAATATTATTGTAATACAACAGTTTTTTAACTGAAAACCATTCGAAAAGCGATTACGGTAACATCTTTTGAACGAAAGAAAGCGAGTCATTGCTTTCGTCACTTTCCATTGTAATACGTACGTCATTTCAGCAAAATATTACATTTCCATATTCTCAGAAATAAATAGTAGTTTTGCTGAAACGTAATGCATTTTAATGTAAATTAGGATAAACTACATGAAAACAAAAGACTTTACCTAGCCTTCCGATGTTCAAGATATGTTACTCGTTTTTTTTAGTAGTTTTCGGTTAAAATACACTTATATTAGTGATATTCTATTCATACTGTGCTTGATATAATACATTCATGGAAATGTAATATTTTTGCAACTACAATGCTGATGTCAACACAAGCCTGGTTACAGCGAGACTGACTGAGTGAGGGAGAGCTATGCGTGTGTGTGTGTGAGGTCGCGGGAGCGGGCGGTGTCCCGTGTGAGGTGCCGCGCGCGAGTTGAATGGCGCGCGATTTGAATGTACTTCAATCTGCGTATTATAAACCCGCGTATGTTAAGGGCCGACTGTGTGTGTATATATGTATATATATATATATATATATATATATATATATATAAAATATATATATAAAATAATGTAAATGGAATTAATCAGTTCTGTGCAATTTGATGAACTAAGACATTTAATATCTGTATATTTTTTTGATGAATTTACAGAAAGCTTGCGAGTTGAAGCCAACGGATGGAACCTCGTGGTACCTGCTAGGATTTTGGTAGGAATTTTATTCAGTAGTTTTGTATTTCAGAAGTATTTATGAGGCTTAGGTGCCATATTAGAAACTTTTACCAATATTTTTTCACCATCTGCAAAATTATCTGATAGATGAAATTCTTATTTATGATCTATGGGTCATAAAATCACTACTACAGTACTGTACTGCACTAGTATTCATGCCACTCATAGATAACTCAAGTTATGCTGTCCAGGTAAAGTGGACTATATAACATTGTTGCTACAATCACCACTTCTCACCCAGTTGATCAACTTACTCATTACAGTCAGTTCTCCTATACCACTTGTTTTCATAATGTGAACGTATTGGGGAACACATTTTTTACAACTCAGATGTGAATTGGGTATAACACGATAGAGTAAACATACAGTAACTACATGTACTAACTATGTTAATTTGTCAAGCAAGGATGGTAAGTATAAGCGGTTGTGCAGCTGTCGGTGTAGCATCACAAGGCGGGATGCTACTGTACTGTGTGCTAAAATTTTGGGTATTGAAACACTTGATTTAGTTATGACTTGAGGAATCTGGTAAGGAAAGGAAAATCAGACTCTGCCACCCCAATTACATTACCCTAAATGCCCCAGGTACGTATCGCACATTTTATCATGGACTGTGCTTTACCCGATATTACTTGTATTCCAATTATTTTTATAAGTTTATATAAATTTCTTATGGTTTAATTTTTTTAATTAAGAGGTTTTATCATTAAAAACTGTTAAATGAATCACATTCCTTTAATTTTCACCATTTTCACTTTTCACAGCAACTTTCTCTATTGCTTAACAAGGTAGACTAATATGCTTTAACAAGCATTTTCCCCCTTTTCATGTTTTAATATAGTAATGAATGGTATCAAACTAAAACACAGTTATTATTAAAAAAAAAACTAAAATACCATAACAATAATACTGTATACAAAATTGTAAGGAAAAATTTAAGTTATTTTGGTGTTATCGAACCTATTACCCTCTAAACCTTTTAATTCCCATTATATCAGTACAGTAGTTACTATAACGCGATTTCTTTATAATGCAATGTTCTTCAGGAACACAAATACTGCATTATAGGAAGACATTGCTTTAACTTCTTCACAAAATAAAACTTCAGAAAGAATCAAATTCCTAATTTTTACATAATATTTCAGCAGTGAGGAATGAAAACAGCAACTTTACCTTTGTTCACATTTTAGTTATTTTAAATCATCCAAATAAAAGCACACTTTATTTTATCATCTGTACATTGATGTAAGTGCTGTAGGTGCTACTTTTCCTGTTTAAATATGGATCCACTCAACCCTATGGACACTAAGATGTAACAGAGGTCTTACATCCACTATAATTGTATGAGAAATGTTTGCCTAAACCATTCTAGCAGAAGGGGCTTGGTTATCTGATAAAATTTCACATCCAGGTTTTAATTATTAAATTGATAATTCTGTCTTTGTGGTGTGAACATCCTTTAATAGTTAAAAAGGATTAGTAGTGTGTGAGCTCATGAAATTGTCAATCTGTTTGACTCAGTGACCCCGAATCCTCATTTGGGCTCGAGTTAACTGCTGATTCTGTCTTATGAAACTTGAGTCTGGGCAACAAGTGTTGCTTGTAGAAACCATATAGATGGCAATGACCAGCTCTATTACTGTAATTATTCTTTTACTTACAAAATGGGAAAGATAATTTAGGAACACCCCTGTTTTAGCAATATTTTATATGCTTTCCATCACCTAGATACTAACAAAGCTCCAAGCCTAGACGGCATTCCTCTATTAGTTCTTAGAGACTGTGTATCAGAGTTGTTCCAAATCTTTTTAAAGCTTAACCGTTTCTATCTCCAACCCGAGGAAGGATTTAATCTTATCATGCATACAGTGAACCCTCACTTTACGCGGTCAATTGAACCCACTGCGGCCCGCGTAAAGTGAACAACATAACATATGGGATTAATTGAAATAGAGACCGGGCCGACCCCCAAACTCCACTTTTTCAGACACAATACCTACGTTGTAGTAAAAATAACTTCTTAATTTTATGATGGTATGCACACACAATTAATAATTAAGAGAAATATCAATAATATTAGGTTTTTTAACACTTACATTAGTAGAAAAGATGGCTGGGCACACGGGGATAGGGGGTTGGTTCCGAGGCAGAGGGCAGATTATTGGCCTTCACCTGTATCACTTGTATCACTATCCACCACAGAGGCTTGCATGGCCTCTTTGTCAAACCCCTCAAAGTCCATATCCTCACTATCATTATCACTGACTTGGGCTGGCTGTGGTGGGTGGCGGGTGAAGAACTCGGTAATGTTTTGATGACTGGGCGACCTTGTGCGCACCCTGCTCGCGCCGCTCTCCGCGTAAAAGGGTACACACCGCGGAAAGTGAGCATTCCGTGTTCGGCTGGGTACCGCGTAAACGTGTAAAGTGGGACCGCGTAAAGCGAGGGTTGACTGTATTTGATTTCCTTTCTTTTTACTTCAAATTTAACGTTGTTCTTCGTGATATTTAAATCAGTCTCATTGCCTAAAGGTTCTCAAAAGTCATTAATGTTGCTTGGCATTGTTTTTGTGAGTAATTTGTCGTTTTTTTTTCTCTCAAACTACAGTCCAGTATTTGCCTCTTTCTTGTTTTAAGTTTTTATTTCTCTTTTGTTTTGTTATTCCTATGATTTCTCTTTTTTCAGGTACAGGATTGACCTTTTCCTTTGTTTTCTGTAAATAACTCCTTGACCCCTGACAAATTTTCTCTAGATTTTGAACCCTACCATCTTTGTTTCTTGTTGTGTGATGTACAGTACAGTGTTTCTAACTTGCATAACTCCATCTGTATTGAAGATACATGTACCTTCTGAATGAAAATTTTATGCATGCATTAAAGCATATTTTCTGAAATTGCATATACCTGTACTGTACTGTACATTGTACAGTACTTGGGGACAGGTATATAACTAGGACATGAGACTAACCCATGTAAGTTTGGAAAATGGTCATAAAACAATGATGATGATGAGACACCTCTGTCATTAAAGTATACGGTATTAAGTTTAAGGTTTTTTCCCGTCCTTCATGCAGGTACTACAGTATTGCAAACATTCCATGGTACCAGCGGAAAATTGCCTCGGTAGTGTTTGCCACGCCTCCAACTGGCACATATGAAGAGGCACTAGAGCATTTTCTGCATGCAGAGCAAGTGGAGCCGAATTTTTACAGGTAAGTCTTTAACAAAGCAGAATAGTTATTATGTAGTACCATGTTGGAAACACAACTTCTCATCCGATCAGCGAATTAAGCAATGCTTGGTTTGGTTAGTACAGTACTTGGTGGACACAGTGGATGGTGGTAATAAATGTGTTATTGTTAGGAAAGACTGCACAGCCTGTTTTAATATTAATTTTTACCATGGACTTTAAATTCCAGTAAGAACTTATTAATGATTGGGATGTGCTACCAGAAGCTGGGGAAGAAAGCAGAAGCGAAAGAATATTTTCTTCGCACTACAAATTATACCATAAAGACTAATGATGATCAAGAAGCAGTAGCAGAAGCAACCAGTCTTCTCAGTGGACTCTGATAGTACTGGACCAGAATGAGAGCAGCGTGAAAGATGTAAATTGAAAGGTATATGACGATAGTTGAATATATTTCACACTTCAAATGTGTTTTTAAGTCAATTCAACCAATTTATCTTGTAAAATGATTGGCAGCAAAAATCATGATTGCTGAGCTTCAATTAAAATATTTTGTTAATTATTGTTAATTTAACAATGAATGAAATAATTATGTAATTAAAAAAGCTATTAATGCGCAGTATTTTATTCATATCTAATACTTGTATGAACAGTGATCTCCATATTTTTCTTTCTTTTTGCATATTGTTTTTTGAATATGTGTTTGACAAGGTAACTGATAATATTGCTTGTGTTTTCAGCCTTTCCATATTTTACATAACTCTACTTATGCTACGAGTTATTGTACAGTAAAAGTCCAAAAATCCGGATGCCAAAAATCCGGACCACCCGAGAATCCGGACTTTTGGAAAACTAATTATTATTATTTTTTTTTTGCGGGCTTTTGTGTGTATGTGCGCATGCGTGAGCGCCACAGCTGCACAGCGACAACAAGCGACCACGTGGTCTCCACTTTAAAACGAGCAATCAAACTGTGACAACATACCGTATATACTCATCTATAACCCCCCCTCGTTTATCTGTCGACCCTGATTTTTTGACCAAGAAATCGTTAATTTATGATATTCCTCGTTTATAGTTTGACCCACGTTTTTGAGGGTAAGCGAACAACAAAACCTTCAGTAAAAACGCTCTACGTCCTATAAACTGAAACACTTGTGCCGAAGGCAAATTGTTTACCATTTATTATTACAACACTTTACACTAAAACGCTGGTAGTTTCAACAAAAATATTGTATATTTCCATTCAAGTATTTATTCAAATCAATTAGGAGGGAATATTATTGTAATACAACAGTTTTTTAACTAAACCATTCGAAAAGCGATTACGGTAACGTCTTTTGAACGAAAGAAAGCGAAAGTCATTGTTTTCGTCACGATTTTATCCCACTTTCCACTTTAATACGTTCGTAATTTCAGCAAAAATATTACATTTCCGTGAATGTATTATATCAAGCACAGTATGAATAGAATATCATTGTAATATAACAGAATTTTAACCGAAAACTATTAAAAAAACGAGTAACATCTCAAGAACATCGGAAGCTTAGGTAAAGTCTTTTGTTTTCGACATGTATTTTATCCTATTTTACATTGAAATACATTACGTTTCAGCAAAACTACTATTTATTAACGAGAATATATTCATTCAGGCGCAGTTTAGGTAAAATATACGTGTGATGTAATAGTTTTTTAACTGAAAACGATTCGAAAAACACGTACCCTCTAGCCCTGTTCAAGGAGATGACTGGGAGAAGCTGTTTGGTGCTGCAGACGATGACAAAGAAAATGATTTTGATGGATTTTAATGAAAATATTCAGAAATATGGTATCGTAGTATTTATTCAAGTCAATTAGGATAGAATATTATTGTAATACAGTACAACAGTTTTTTAACTAAACCATTCGAAAAGCGATTACGGTAACATCTTTTGAACGAAAGAAAGCGAAAGTCATTGTTTTCGTCACGATTTGATCCCACTTTCCACTGTAATACGTACATCATTTTAGCAAAAATATTACATTTCCGTGAATGCATTATATCAAGCACAGTATGAATAGAATACCATTGTAATATAACAATATTTTGAGTCCTACTCTTTCCATTTACAGATTACTGTACAAGCCCATAATAATGGCTCCTAAAGTAGATAAACTTCGTTGTGTGAAGAGAAAGAAGAACACGTTGAAATTGAGTGACAAACTTGAAATAATTAAGAAACTAGTACGTGGTGTGAGCAATACTGTTCTAATGGAAAATACAACATTGGAAAGTCTACAATTTATGATATCAAAAAGGCAAAGAATAAAATTCTAGAATTCACAGCTTTTTCATTAAAACTGCTCGTTTTGATAAATGAACCATGCTATATTTGCTAATGAATAAACTATCAAAATGTACCTGTTCATCTCTTCTTTATTCCTCCTTAAATTTTAATTTTAAAAGTACTGCCTGAGAATCCGGAAAATCCGAAAATCCGGACCGACCCAATCCCCAAGCAGTCCGGATTTTTGGACTTCTACTGTAGTACTGTAGCAGTTAAGTGTCACACTTTGAGCAAAAAATTTAATTTGGCTCCTTTCTCACTAAGAGACAGGCTAAGCATGGGTGATGTTAACAACCTATTTGCTAGCATCAGAATGCTTTAAAATATCTAATTTAACCTATAGAACAATACTTATCCTTGTTTTGTTTTTTACCAGAGGTGCAATTATCGTTTGCCAGGTATTTTCCACTAATTTTATAGGGCTTTGATTAGGTTTTAACTCACTCTCGTCAAATGAACTCGAGCAAATATGGTGACAATAGGTAGACTGACACTAGGGATGGCGTGTAGTAAGGCAACATATAATGAGGTCATCATCATCTTCAACATTTTACAGCCATTTTCTATGCTTACATGTTTGCCATGATTGCTTAATGGCAACTGTTGGGTAAAACCAGAATGGAATGACCCCCTCCTGCTCACCACTGGAAACCTAGTGTGCCAGCCTGAAAATGCAGCAGAGACAGGGGGACCGATGCAACTCTTGTGACTCATTGATATCAAGCATGTTGAAGCATAGTTTTATGGCTGGATGCCCTTCCTAATGTCAACCCACAGTTATACCTATACTGTATATCTAAAGAAGGTGAAATGTTACATATGTTCAAAGCAGTTTGACTGGCTACAATATTGTTTACATGCTAACAATGTTTCATGTGCAGCTTCACACACTGACAACTTTCTGCCAATTTCTTTCATTTTCCTATTTAGTGATATCAATTAAGTGACCAAGTGAAATGAGCAGCAGCAATACCCCTTATAGTAAGAAACTGTCTTCCCGAGTCTCTAGTTTTAACCTAATCCATATGCCACATTTCTGTGGAGATTGTATATTCATATATCCATCCTTTTCGAATACAATTAATTTGATAAGGAACAATAAGTTTGCTGAGTTTATAAGAGGTTAAGTACAGTATATTAAAATAAATATTCAAATGTTTATTTATAGGTATAAATATTAAAAATATTAATCATTTTCAATTATCAGATCATGACTTCTATATAGGTGTACAGTAAAACCTCGATTAACCGACCACATATGGGGAAGGGGCCGACGGATAATCGAAAAGGTCGGTTAATAGTGCATAAAGTCTACGGAAATAAAACATACATTTTCAAAATACCTTTCCCTAACCTACCTCATTTAAGTCCCTCTATTCATTTTTGTTCATTTGTCATTCATATTTCAATAGAATTTGCTTTAAAACATTAACCACTTTAGTAAATAAATATGAACCAGCACAGAAACCGTGAATAAAAAATGGAAACGTCAAAGAACATACCGTATATCTCGGCCTACAAGGCGACGGGGTTTATAAGACGACCCCAAAAATGTCCATTTAACCCTTTAGGTGCGTAATTAAATTTCGCGCCGGTTCCTGAAAAGTGTCAATTATCCTGCCAAAAATGAATTTCATATAATCACATTTTCTATATGTTTTTCCTAGAGAACTTTTAGTATATTTTCCAAATCTGGAACAAAAATTCACATGTGTGCAAACTTTAGAGAAAAAATGACATTTATACCCAAAAATGCAGGAAATTGGTATAAATCAATGTCTGGTATATGGCAAATAAATTTAATCAATTTGGTTACTAAACAGCAAATTTAGATATGTATTACATATTCAGATAATATCAAACAAAATACTGTAGTACAAAAATAAGCTATATTGCATTCAGGAAATACTCCTATACCTCAATACATAATATGTCCGCATGTCGTCTCATTTGGGGAAGTTTTTTCAAGGCCGTGGGATATCCCCGCTTGTCGCATTTAATTAATATAATATTTTGGGCGGGTTTACCCGCATGTCGCATCCAAAGGGTTAAAAAGTAGCTTTTGAGCCCTATTTGCTGTATAAGACCGGTACTCCAAATGTGACACTTAACCATTGGGAGCTTACTGACCCAGTAGTCCTTTACCAACCATCCCATTGACCAGTGCTGTTTACACATTCATGGTTTTTTTAAAATAAGGCCAATTCACTTCAAGTAATGGCATCAAATGTTACCGGTTGGTGTAGTGTAAACACAAGTGACTCACTTAAATGTCTGTTATTTAACTGGAACTAATGTCGGTGTCGAATACAATTGTTTCATTTACTTGAAATGGATTTACCA